TAGCTTGTTGCTAGATAAGAATAGACGCGCGAACACAATGCTTCCAGAAGTTATCTCCGACGTACGAACTTCGTCTAACAAAGTTCAGTTTCCATCACGACTAGCTGATAATAAGAAATTTGCTGTCCTCAAACACCACTGATGAAGTTCAAAGAAAGAAACTGTGATACGCTGATATTCTCAACCGAGTGTTCAGGGTTGAAAGTTTCATAAGCTGTCCTTATGCGGAACAAAGGATCGATAACGGTCGTCGTTGCCTTTTTCCTTCTTGAACGTAACCGCGAAATTCGATGCGCCTGAATTAGACGTTCGGATGCATAGTCGCGCGGGAAACGCTAACAGTGATCCGCCGAAACTCGAGCGAATTTACGAGCCTTATCGGAAGCGAACTGATTCATCGGCTGGCAGTAAAATTTATACGACTAACGCGAGACTCCGAGCGTCGATCTTTACGTTTAAGTGCTTCTTTAACGGTGTTTACTTACGACGGCTTCGCTACAGATTTATTCTTTCCCGCGAAATTTATGTTACAGCTTATTACCTTCCGGAATTTGGGTTACATGTAACGGTGCGTATCTGGGCCAATTTTTGGCATTCAGAGGGACCTCCGAATTTATAGCCTCATTCGACCGAATAAAGTTCTGGGTGTTCGAAAGGTTTCGTCTTCGAACGCCAAGGGAATCTAGATGATACCAGGCCCTTAACACATTGCGTACCATAACGAGAAATCTCGTTTTTATGTAAAGACATTTATCTATGCAACTTCGCTAATCACCACAGCATTGGAAAAGATATAAAATTTAATTCGAATTGATTATCTATTTAAAATAAATTACATAGCAATATATCTGAGTTTTTCTATGTATAGTGATATAAGTTGACCTCAGTGAAAATTGCCGTCAATTCAGCTTTCTGAAAATTAGCCGGTACGCAATGTGTTTACTGTGTATGTTCGAATCCTTGTGTTTCATATTCGATCGTTGAGTTTCTCGCAGAAAGTTAGCGAGAAACGAATTATAACGAACGGTCCAGTTCATTTCGACGAACGAAATAGTAACACGATATATTTTCCCAGCTAATGAAATTACTTCCTGCGAAATGATTCGCCGATTCTCTCGGAAACAAGAACAGTTTCAGGCACGAATTTATGATTGTTACGGAAACGAGCAAATAACGATCGTTACCAAACTTCGCGGTGCCGATCGGAAATTCAGAAAGGCGATTCTTACGGGCGTGTCCGCCGTTATTGATATCGGGCGTCTTTTTGGCGACGAGCGAAAAATTGATCGCTGGCGATGCCATACATTATGCGCCGCCATTTCGTGATCGTTGTGAAATATTATCTCTGGAAAAAAGATGAATAGGAAAGGGGGAACCATCCTGACAATTTAATTTGTTCACCGCGGAAATTGGGAATATTGTATGAGCGTATTCATCCGTAACTTCATGGTTAAACGGATTATTCAGTTTTTTCCTAGCTTCTTTGTTAACACTCTGTATCAAGGATATTAACTCGTGAAATCAATTTTGGCAAAGACAATTTCGATTCGTGCACTCGGTCGCTTGAAATATTCGATCCTGCCATTCGATCAAAGCAGTTTCTGCGAGAATCTTCCTATGAAGCAAGGATAATTGTGTACGAAACAGATAATCAAATTTTCTTCGTGCTACAGCTATACACAAATCGAAATTCTTTGTCGGTAAAATTAATTCCCCGATGCGCGGCAAAAAGAGGAAAACGCCAGTGCCTGTTTATACGAGTTTCCCGGTGCATCCATTGGAACGAAATTTTATTTTTATTTTCAATTCCAGTGTTTTTGAGCGCGGAACAGTAAAAACAGACGGCGATAGTTTTATTTTTATTTTGGTTCCATTCGGGAGTCGGACTCGTGGCGTGACTAATTTTTCGCTTGTAGATTTTATCGATGTTTACCGAATTATCTATTGACGACGAAATCATTTATTCGTCGTTAAATCCGGAAACATGTTCTGTCGGCGCGCGAGTGCGCCATAAAACGCGAGGAAATCGTTGACAATCCGCGTCGCTTTGTTCCCGTTATATTCTACTGCAGATACGAATAACTTCGGACAAAATGGACGGCACCATCTAACCGCAATCTACAAGAAAAATTTCCGACTGCTTGTCGCAATGCCCTTTACGACGGGAACTTTAAACTTTTAAGGTCGGGTCTCCTAAAACTTCTACCAACCACCCTTTGGAAACAATATTTTCGCATTCGCAAGGTGACAAAGTTCCTTGCATGGAACTTTCTCTATTTCACTGAACACTTAAAAATTCGTTCTCCAAAAGAGAGTCTTGATTTATTTTGAAAAATTTATCAACGTTCGATTAATTCACTTGAAATTCCTCAAGAGATACCTTCTTAACAATAACAATCAAAATCAGAATAAAAAGCACTCAACATTTATTGTACAGAATATTGCACAGAGATTTTGTGTTATTGTTCCTAAGTCAAAGGTTCGAACGATAGTCATTCATCCAAATTTAATTGACCCACCGTTTGTATCGTGATAAAACTAAAAGGCGGAATAAGAATAAATCAACTGAAAGTATTTTTAAACGGAATATTTCACGGAAATTCGATTTCATTATTTCTCCCGAGACGAACGATCGAACGACAGTCGACGCGAAGAAATGAATAGAGCTGCGCACAGGCGACCATCGGAGGGATAATTTTCCGTAGCGGAGATAACGCTGCGGCGTGTGTAAATTTTTCATCGGCCGATCAAACGCGTGACTATACATTTTAGCGGCAGCTCCAGTTAATCCGGCGGTATCTTCCATACGCGGCGCGCGATAGCCGCTCGAGCTGTCACGGCAGCGGGAGAAAGACACGCTCGAACGCAATCTACGCTGGAATCACGGAGTCTTCCGTTTCGACCATTGATCTAATGAAAAATTACCGAATCGAAAGGAAAACGTTGTTCTCGCGGGAGACCGACGGGAGCCCGGTGAATCGTGTGCGGAATAAATTAAACGCCAACTGGATCGCATTATCATAAATTCTGTTGTTTAAACGTCGAATATATTCCCTGCCTAACCGCGCGGAAATTATTTAATTCGTCTCTTATCTTACTTGTAAACTAATCATTCGTTAAACGTATAATGTGCGATTGGAACTGATGTTTATGATACTCATTATTAACAGGGATTCTTCTGTTCACACGTTTAAATACGATTCGCAAATGTGCGATTTGTTTATTCCGTGTACAACGTTGTTCCATTCTAATTACTATAATATAAATGGATCATCGACTCGCGACGCTGAACAACGGTTATACCGAAAGCTGCGACGACACGAATAACAACGATCCTTCGTTTTGTTTAATGAATGAGGAATTATTTTGCGCGTACGCTAATATACGGAAGCTTTGAATTATTCCCGTGATCTATGTTCCGGATTTATTCGAATAAAAGCATTCGGGAGGACGGCCTCAAAATCTCGGAAATATATTCCCGCGGAAAGAGAATTGCGATATCGGGGCTGACCGCGAAAAATTCTTTCATATCCGCTCGCGGAATGAACCCGCTGCCTCGGAAGCGCGTCCCGCGCGGCGCGCTGCCATAAATCACGCTCGCGAGCCGCGGAATGCGTTGACAATCTCGTTCAGCTTTGATTGCCCGCGGCGATCTATCGATAAACGCGTCGAAATCGTTTAAATTGTCTCATCGAAACCGGTCGTCGTTCGTCATAACGGGGAAAACAGAGGATTCGATCCCTCGGATCGCTGTGGAATAAAAAAAAATTTCATCGGAAAATAAGATAAATCCACGCCCTTGTCTAATTGATTGCCGGTAGACGTGTCACGCGAGAGCGCGTCGAATGTTCTTGATAAATAAATGAAGGAGATAAGATTGATTGAGCCTCCGACGCGGTCCGAGGGGGAAGAACCGGACAGAGTGGTGTTGCGTGTTCCTTTTCTACGATTCTAACGAAATACACTTCACTAATTGTATCTCGCGGTAGTTTGATAGGAATTGATAGCCGCGAGATTCCGAGGTAAATCGAAGGAAAATAATATTGTAGACTCTCCGGTTGTTGCGAGTGGAAACAGTGGGCAATAGTCGGACACGTTCAAACAACGTTCGATCTTCATCTTTTCGAACGTGACACTTTAGAACTTTTAACGTGCTCCCCTTCTGATCATTAACTTTCTTTATCTCCCCTTCGATTCGAAGCATTGTAAAGAATTCTACAAACAATGTAAACTATTCAATGCAACTTAGCTAATTATATTTCAGTGCTCTTCTTGATTCTCCGTAGATTCACATCGAAAAGTGCAATTTCCCCTAATAAAGTTTAATACGATTAATATGTAATCTCTAGAAAAATTGCAACGATAGATCATCCTATTTCTTCAGACATTCATTCCAGTATTCGAGTGAAACTATGTTCAAGATCATTTCGAATATTCAATCCTCTTCAGATATCGATCATTGCGAAACGAAAACGGAAGCCAATCGTGACTGGCACGGCAGTTCTAGTGTTAACATAACAATATCTCAACAACATATTATTCATTCATCAAAACTTCATAGTACGACCAGCATTTATGACACTGTATTTGTTGTTTTGTTATACGTAATATTAGTACTTGGAACTTTTACATATCAGTAATGAAACGCATCACCTGCAATAAATTTCAAATAAAAATTGATTAAGTAAAATATAAACTGTTATAATGTCCAACAGTTTTCTTACTATGTATTTTCTTTTTATGTTTCGTTGCCATCAATGCAAATTTAATCCTCAAATGTTAATTCCGGAAGTTTCTGTTCATCATTGTAAACACGCTATATAAGTTGAAAGTACTTTCGATAGTTTGCGCTATATGTATTTATGACTACACAAATTATTATCCCAACAACATAAAAAAATAATTCTCTCGACCACTGTTCAAGCAGAACGCTCGGAGAACAGCCCCCCAACCCGTGCGATCTAGAAATTTTCCCTCGAGCCACCGAACGTACTTTCCAGATCGCGAGATCGGGACCGAAGAGGTTCTCCCGGCGTTGACGATCCGCGGCACGCTGCCGCGTGCTGTGTTGTCGCGCCGCGTCGGAACGCGGATCGATAAAATATTAAAATATTAACAAGCCCCGAGGCATCGGGGGTAGGCGGCGTGGATCGAAGAGGGACGGGTGTCGCCAGCTTCGAACCGAATAACACCGCTCGCTCGCTCGCTCGCCGAGCGGCAGGGGAGTGAAGGAGGAACGGCGACGGAAGTGAACCGGGGGTCGTGATCGATATCATCGGGGGCCACGATTCGCGATGCGGGCCGGCACACGAGCGGAATGAGGGTCGGGGGCCGCGCGGCGCGAGACAATCGAATCGCGCCCCGACCGCCGTCCGCCCGGAAGTTACGCCGAACTTCGAACCGTCTAGCGGCGTCCGCTCGCGCTGAAACGACGCCGACACGTTGAGAGCTGCGGCGAGCGGCTCCTCTTCCGTGGAGGAAGAAAGAAGGGGACGAAGAAGGCGCTGAGGGGACTGGCAAAGAGGATCCCCTCGGTTCGACGGGTCTCGATCCCGGTGGACGATCTGCGTTCGATCGGACGATGAACGGTGAGAACGCACCCTTAAACATGAGTGAATCAGTGAACCCTGAGAAACGATTACGCGGCACGATGCAGCTGACGGAACGCGGTACGTTTAGTGAAGTGCATCCCGCTGATAAACAAACAGAGTTGCGTAACAGTGCCACCGACAACCCGGACTCGGCGGATCTGACTTGAGCTGGGAGCAGAACGACCGTAAATGTCACTGAGAAGGTTGGTACGCTTTCGCCGCTGGGGCTGCGTTGCTCTCGCGGAGGCTGCTTTTTTATCGTGTCCCCGCTGTGAGCGTGGAATTTTAAGTATCTGTGCGGCCGGGTTTCGCGGCGGTATTTCTGGCTTTCTTGGGGGAGAAGTTGTTTGTAGATTATTGTTGTAGGAGACGGAATGTTGATTTACTTGATGCTGAGTTGCGGGAGAGGAGTTTGTGGAAATGCTGATGAGGTTGATGGGTATACTGTATGTGATTAGTACTTGTGTTTTGAAGCTTGCGGCTTGTAATCGGGCGCGATTGAGTTCTGCGATAGCAATGTCTGCGTTAGTGGTGGATTGATTAGACTGATATTCGAAAGACATACTACGGGCAATCTTAACTTCAGGGAATATTCGAAAGATAGCGTAGGCATCTTTAAATTTAAGGGTAACAATATTTGGACGACAGCGTGGACATCTTTAAATTCAAGTGTTCCACTACTCCGGGCTTGGAAAGATATCATAAGCATCACCAAATTTAACGCTTCCAACATTCAGAATTCAAAATACAACAAAAGCATCCTCAAATTCCTCAATTCGGACATTCAACGTTCAAAATACAACACAATCATTCCTAAATTCAACTCTTCCAACATTTAACATTCAAAATATAACAAAAGCATCCTCAAATTCCTCAATTCGGACATTCAACGTTCAA